CCATGCCATAGACCAAAGAGAACGGAGTTGTCCTAGTTGATGTTTGAGCTGAGGTATGGTAGCCATGGAGAGCAAACGATAATATCTCATGACAGTCTTTGTATGTTACCAACATCTTTTGCACAATCTTCTTGATATTTTTATTAGCAGCTTCCATTGTGCTATTCATCTTAGGTCTGCATGGAGAAGAATTGTGATGCTTAATTTTGAACTGAGTACAAAGTTCCGTAATTATAGCATTGTTGAGGTTGGTTCCATTGTCAGTGATGATCCGGTCGGGGATACCGTAACGACAAATGAGGTTATGCTTGATAAATCTGGCTACAACGTTCTTGGTAACTAAGGCATATGAGGCAGCTTCTACCCACTTGGTAAAATAATCAATGGCAACAAGGATGAAACAATGTCTATTGGAAGCGGTAGGTTTGATCTCTCAAATCATGTCAATGCCCCACATTGCAAACGGCTATTGTACAGTCATGATATTCAGAGGAATCAGGGGCACATGGACCTTGTCAGCATAAATTTGACACTTGTGACAAACCCTTGAGTGATGATGACAATCAGTTTCCATTGTGGACCAATAGTAATGAGCCCTCTGGATTTTCTTGGCAATAGTGTGCCCACTAGAATTAGTCCCAAAGATTCCATCATGCATGTCTTCCATAATTTTCTCTGCCTCCTTCTTGTCCACACATCGGAGTAGAGTAGAATCATGATTTTTCTTATACAGGATTCCATTGCTTAGGAAAAATTTGGCTGAGAATCTTCGCAAGAATTTATTATCATTGACGGAAGCTCTTTCAGGATACTCTTGTGCTTCAAGATATCTCCTTACTTCATGGTACCATGGTTTCTCTTCATCAGTGTCAAGCTCATAGCAGTGTGCAGGTTCGTCAAATCTTTCGATTATCATTATGGGAGCTTCGTTGTCCCATTTGACTTTGAACATGGAAGACAATATTGCCAAGGCGTCAGCCAACTGATTTTCTTCTCTAGGTAAATGTTCAAAGGTGATTTCCTCGAAGTATGGTATCAGGTTTAACACAAGCTCTTTGTAAGGAATCAGGTTAGGATGCTTAGTGTCCAATTCTCCTTTGACTTGACTGATCACTAGAGCAGAATCTCCAAATACGTTCAAGATCTTGATCCTTAAGTCAATGGCAACCTTTAGACCCAAGATGCATGCTTCGTATTCAGTCATGTTGTTCGTACAATCGAAACACAGTCTAGCCGTTAAAGGAGTATGGCAACCCTTAAGATAAATAATCACAACACCAATTCCATTTCCCAAAGCGTTGGAAGCCCCATCGAAAACCATATTTCATCGGGATCCTTGTTCAGAAGGAGTGTGAAACGTGTGTTTGACTATGCATGCGCATTTATTGGAACTATCAATTCCAAGAGAATTAGTCCATATTCAATAAAGGCATTCAAAAATGACTTGGATGGTGCATATTTATTTTTGGTGCATTTATCTTCCTCAAATTATGTTCTCTTTGACCAAGACCATTGTCACAGTCTGGGATCATTAATTCTTAAGTAACTGCTCATTTATTTAAAGAGGTCATCCCTTCCCTTCTATCATCCTGTGTTTGGTTGTCTTCAAAATAGTCCTTATGGCTTTTGTTCGGGTTTGGGTGAGTACAGTTTGGATATGGTTTTGTGGTGGCTATGTTTGTCAATTTTTGGCTAAAAAGGGGGAGAAATGTTCTATTTTTATGGGTTTTCTTTTAAGTATGTTCGCAGTTGTTGTTGTTTTTCAAGGATGTTAGGTAGGATACTCGTATCTGAGTCTGCTCTTTGCTTTCCTTTTGTCTCTTATGATCTGAGTTATGAACATAATTGTGTCTTGTATTCTGAGTTACCCAGAGCTAGAATCTGCACATGCAGGTTGGTGTTTGGTTGCCTCTTAAGGGTCCTGTCATGCTCCCTGAGCGGAATATTTGTTCCTGGGTTGAGGGGGTGTGTCAACTATCTTCTTCCTCATGTACACCAAATGACTTCAGGACTTTCTGCTTCTTTCACCCTGAGTTTGTTGTTGTGTGGTGTTGAGTTTAATGTGCTGTAATGGAGTTGTTTGAACTGATGTGACGAGATGTCAAACATGATGTCCTGACATCAACCAAACTGAGAATATTATTTCTCTATGTTGTTGTGTTTAGTAGCTTCTGAAGACTAACTCTCTGACAATTATTTATGTTGCTAATGTCCCAAGTTGAAGATTTATTTGATGTGTGTACGAAAATTTGAATTGTAATTTGTTTATTTGTTTATTTGTTTTAGCCAAAATTTTCTAAAGGGGGAGATTGTTAATTCTCTATTTTTGTGATTGGCATTAATTTTAGTAAAAAAAATTTAGCAACAACATGTTAAAAGGATGTTCTAACTTGTAGAGAAAACATGTTAAACAAGATGTCTTATGCATGATCATTCAACATTGTGTCTATTACATCTAGATTTTTATATTCTATTAGTCTGTTACGAATGTTGAATATTCTGGGAATATTTAGTAATCATACCTGGCATCCAAGACTGAGAAATCAGAGATATATGTTGGTATTCAAGTTATTCAAGTTTTCTAAATGTTGAGCCATTTTAGGAAAGTTATGATTTAAGGTCTATTTTCATGGAGAAGTTTTTGCAGACTTTGTGCAGTCTCTTTGCTGCATTTTTGAAGCCCAAATCCAGCTAGAAGTTGCTTATAAAAGGAAAACTCTAAACCTAAAGAAGATGTGAACCACATATGTAAAAGTGTCAATTATTAGGGTTTCGTCTGTTTTATTGTGAGCCACTCTTGTATTGTTTAATACTCGAGTTGGACTGTTATTTTAGTTGTAATAGTCATTCATAAGCTTTTAAGCATTGAATGATTTTGTGTCATTGAAGTGTGTCTTTTAAAAGTATTTGAATTCGTTTGAATTGTATTCTGGTCACTGTTTTTGAGTAAGGGAAGTGATATGGGTCTCATACCTATGTGAGTCTTAGGTAGAAGTATAGCACGAGTAGTGATTAAGTGAGAAGTTGTAAACTGGGGAATTTAGCTTCGAATGGATATTATTTAGTAGACTTCCTTCCTAGCTTGGTAGCCCCCAGATGTAGGTGTTGTTGTACACCGAACTGGATTAACAGTTCTACGTGTTCTTTTACTTTCAGCTACTTACCTTACCTGCAATATCTTATTGTGTTAACTTCAGGTCTGGTCTGTGATGTCTTAACTTCTTATGTGACATATGTTATGTATTTATCTGTTCATTATGTTTTAATCAGATATTAGTGTCTCAACATCTCTTAGGACACCTGATATCTGCATCTCAGAAATTCCAGGTATGACTAGGTGTGAAGCATATTACTTTGTTTTCTTACTTCATTCCTCCACTAGTCAGTTTTTTTTGTTGTCAATGTTGATAACATTGTTATCATTGGAGACGGCCCAAATGCTATCCAGCGACTCAAAATTCATCTTTTAAAAAACTTTCAAACTAAAGAATTGAGTCCACTCAGATACTTATTAGGCATTGTAGTTGCCTAATCCTTATCATGTATATCAATCAACCAACACAAGTATGAATTCGACATTCTAAGTGAATCTGATATGTTTGATTGTTGTCCTATTGATAATCTTATGGATCCCAATGTCAAGCGTCTTTCGGGCCAGGGGGATCCATTGAAAGACCCGGGAAGATATCTATGTCTAGTGGATAGAATCAATTATCTTTCAGCCACCAAACCAGATATTACATTTGCAATGAGCATTGTGAGTCAATTTCTTAATGCTTCTTGTAATAGTCATTGAGATACAGTTATTCGAATTCTTAGATATATAAAGAATGCATCAGGAACAGGACTATTAAATGAAGATGAGAGTGATGCTAAAATCACTTGTTATTCAGATACCGACATGGTTGGATCCCCGTCAGATATGAGATCCACTTCAGAATAGTGTGTTTTTATTGGAGGAAATATGATCTCATGGAAAAACAAGAAACAAAATATAACCGCATTATCTAGTGTTGAAGCTGAATGTCGTGATATGATAACTGTCTCTAAAGAGCTTGCATGGCTTAAAAATTTACTCTTAGAGCTTAGGTTGAGAGATCTTCAGGACACAAAACTCATAAGCGACACTCCACATTCTATCCAATTAGATTTTCCATGAACGAAACAAGCACATAGAAATAGATTGTCACTATGTAAGAGATAATGTACTTTCAGGAAAAATAACCACATATTTCATCAAGTCTGAAGACTTATTAGAAAATATGTTCAGTAAGTCCCTCAAAGATTCTCTAATAAATTATATTTGTAACAATTTCGATTCATACAATATATATGATCCGGCATAAGAAAACGTATTAAAAATTCATTAAGATCAATTAGCATTGATTATCTTTAATAGTGTATAAATTATAATGACAATATTACCTATTATGTATATATAATTCATATGCATATAAATATACATCGGGTGTGATATTATTTGACACACAATTATATAGAAAAAAATACACTTTCAATCATGACCATGCAAATGTTTCTTCAATTTTACACTATCAAGGCACCATTCATTTTCTCTAATTTATTTATTAAAATTTTTTTGCCAAGAGTCATACAATAGTCTTTGAAACATACTAAGGTGATTTACAACTATTTGTTATCTATCATTTATATTTTGTAAAACATTGAAGAGAGAGAGAGACAGGGGATGGTTCACTCGTTTTGATTTAAATTTCAAAGGGTTGACCATCGCAATCAAAGTAAGAAGAGTACTCAACAATGAACCTGTGATTGAAGAGTACCAAAGAAGGATTAGAATAGATTATTAAGCACTCTATTAAAACATTTCTATATATATATCACCATCCTAGAAATTATATATATCACCATCCTAGAAATTATATATATCACCATCCTACAAATAAAAAATCAGTCAAAGAGGAGAAGAAGATCATGTATCTTCCTCATGAATTGATTATTCAAATCCTGCTTACTTCCCTTATATGAATGCGTCTGATAATCCCCGAATAGGGTCTCTCTTTAACGGGGCTATTCATTGGTTGGCTTTTCGTTGTGATATACCAATGAATGTTATTGTTGCCTTTGATTTAACTGAAAGAAAAGTTTTAGAGATGTCTTTGCCAGATGATTTTGCTTACAATGATCCTTACTATTGTGATTTGTGGGTATTTGGAGAATTTCTCAGTCTATGGTCTATGGGGAATGATACGGTTGAAATATGGGTTATGAAAGAATACAAAGTCCATTCATCATGGACTATCACTCTTGTTCTTCCAATTGATGGCATTTCCACTCAGTACTTTTCCCCAATATGTTGTACAAACAGTGGTGATATTATTGGAACAGATGGTAGCTCAGGATTGGTGAAATATGATGACAAAGGGAAGTTCCTAGATCATCGCTCCTATGGTAACGATGAACGTGGATCCCAAGTGGTCATGTATGTAGAGTCACTGCTTTCACTCCCTGTTGTTGACAGTGTGCAATCATAAAAAGATGATACAAGCAACAAGAATTCACTATTTTCTTATCTATATTGCATAGGGTTAGGGTTTATATATTTCAAATATTACAAATAAGATGATTCCATGGGTTAATATTACAAAAATGGAATTCACATACAACATAGAAATTAAAGGTACGTGTAATGGGTTTATATATATCAAATATTACAAATACTATGTGTTTGAGGAAATTGAATTTGGATCTGTGTTTGAGGGCATTTGTAATAGGAGTCAGTATGCCACATGAGCTATTGGTGATACATTTGTAATATGTTTATTGAAAATGTTAAAGAGTTTTGTATGTGTGTTTTTAATGTTATTTATGCATGTGTTCTAATGTATATTGTAGTCATTATTTGAAATTGTTTTGTACTAGTTGATGGACTTATGCATGAATATCAAGATAAGATCAAAATAACAGTCACATGACTTTACTCAAAGCACTTCATTAGTTATTTTCAATCATGGCCAAAATATATGTATTTCAAAGAAAAAGAATGTTTAGTTCTCTAATTTAAGTGGACTCTATTAACTTTGGTTGTTGCCATAAGGTAGTAGGAAAGTTAAGAATTAAATAAAATTTAGAAGGTCAAGAGATAGTAGATTATATTAGTTTTATTAGTAACAATTATTTTCTTAGAATAGTAGAAGTCTTTGGGTCTATATAAAGATCAATATTGTATTTTATTTTCAGAACAACAAGATATAAACGTTTGCTTCTTTCTCTAACAAACGACAATCAAAGTTTGCTCCTGATTTAACAAATTGGCATCAGAGCTAATGGCAAACATGATGAATCAAATGTCGTTGCCACGGCTAACGAAGTCAAATTACGAAAACTGGAGTATTCAAATGAAAGCTCTTCTTGGATCTCTAGACGCGTGGGATGTGACCAGAGATGGGTTTGAATAACCAACAGAAACTGGGGGATATACGGCAGCTCAAAATAAGGCGTTGAAAGAGACGCGGTCGAAGGATAAAACGGTATTATACATGTTGTTCAGGGCTGTAGACGAATCATGCTTCAAAAAGATTGCTGGTTCGACTACGTCAAAAGAAGCATGGGACACATTAGAAAAAGTGTTCAAAGGAGCAGATCGAGTAAAGCAAGTTCGACTCCAAACTCTTCGTGGCGAATTGGAGAGGATACAGATGAAGGAGACATAAAATATATCTGACTACATCACACGTGTTCAGAAGGTGGTGAACCAACTCACCAGAACTAGCGAAACAATAACGGATGCACGAGTTTTTGAAAAGATCTTGAGATCTTTAACAGACAAATTTGAGAATATTGTGTGTGCAATAGAAGAATCGAAGGACCTTTTGACACTCTCAGTCGAAGAGCTCGCTGGTTCTATCGAAGCACATGAGCAACGAAAGATGAAAAAGAAGGAAGAAGCAGTCAAAAAAGAAAATCAAACCAAGGAGTCGAACAAAGAAGAAAAGGTACTCTTTTCTCAAAACTTTCGAGGAAGAGGACATGGACGTGGAGGTCGTGACAGTGGTCGAGGCAGCAACTTTGAAAGAGGACAATCGAGCCAACAAAATTGGCGTGGCATAGGACGTGGTCAAAGAGGTGGTCGATCGAACCACTCCAACTTCGAATGCTGCAAGTGTGGGAAGCATGGTCGTTACACGAAGGATTGCAACTCCTACAAATGTTATAATTGTGATAAAGTGGGACATATTGCAAAAGATTATCGAATCGAAAAGAATATTGAAGAAACAACCAATCTAGCCTTGGAACCTAAAGCTGAAGGCTTTCTCCTGATGGCTCAAAATGAAATCAACACCAATAATGACAATGTTTGGTATATTGACTCAGGAGAAAGTAATCACATGTGTGGTTACAAACACCTGATTAAAGAAATGAAGAAAATTGAAGATGGTAATGTGTCTTTCGGAGATACATCGAAAGTGAAGGTCGAAGGAAAGGGCACAATCAGTTACTTGCAGAAGGATGGCTGTTGTACCCCAAAATTTGCCCTCCCATATTCTTCAAGAATTGCAAAGAGCATGCTTCAAAATCTCCCCAAGGGTTGCACAGTTCAAGGGCCTCCTAACAGTCAAAAACTAGGGTTTTGGTTCTGGCAAATAAAATGAAGTTTTCAAGGGGCCAATCAAGTCCCACATGCCTATAAACATGGTCAAGCATCCTCATGTCAAGTTTCAAGACTTACAGCACAAAATTGCACAGTCAAAAACCCTAATTGCACTACAGTCAACTGTAGGGGCAAAATGGTCATTTGACAGTCAAAAGTTCAAATTTTTGGTCAACATCTCATTTTGAAGCCACAAACATCATTTAATCAATTCTTGATCATGATTCTCAAAGCTTGGCTCAAAAAGTCTCAAGATGCAAAAGTTTCCATATTTGGACAGTTGAAAAAGTCAACTGTAACTTGACCAAGGCATAACTTCCACATGGTTTATCAGAAAAATTCCATCCAAAGCTCATTTTGAAGATAAAGACATTTCCTACAACTCCTCTTCACACTTCAAGTCCAAGAAATGCTCTCACAAAAAGTTATCAATTTCAACATTATAGGTCATTTTCAAAAGTCAACAAAAAGGGACTTTAAGTCAAAGGCCATAACTTGAGATTGGTAAATCAAAATGACATGGGACCAAAGGAATTGGTTAGAGGACTTCAAGACCTTTCCAAAATGTCCAAGAATATGATCAAAGCTTAAAAATTGAGCAAGATATGCCTTGTGGAAGTTGGGAAATATTTGGATATTTTGAAAAGTCAACTTTGCTTCAAATGTCTTAAAATTGCTAATGGGCCACATTTTCTTCCAAGATTCATCATCCAAAGCATGTGCACGACCATTTGGCCCAAAGGGAAGTTACTCATCATTTTTATTTATTTATTTGATTTTTTAATTGCTAATAATTCATTTAATTAAAATAAATATGTGGAAAATACCAAAGCAAACTTTTTAAATCATTTTATGCATGAAATACACTCAAGATTCGTGCATGATCTGATATGGGAAGAATCAATGTGATTTGGACATAATTGGCATCAAATAGGCATGAAAAAGATTTGAAAGATATATGCCATGAAAATCAAATATCTCTTCATCAATGCAAAGGGTTTTTTGATCCAATTTTCAACCCTAATCATTCCATACATAAGCCTAATGCCAACCCTAATGCTAGACACCTCTAAGCTGCGCAGAAACACCATAACCAAGTTTGAGTTTTTATCAAAAAAATCCAAAACTAAAAGTGGTCTTAGAGGACGATTCAGAGGAAAAGATCAATCCCATTAGCTTGCCAAGACATTACTGAAGCTAACTGAACACCTTTCCACATCCCTAACGCCCAGAATTGGTAAACAGAACTCGAGATTTTTCACATTTTATTCATATTCGTGTTTCAATATTCAAGCATTCTCATTGCATTTTTTTGTGGATTCATACTAATTGATTGATTCTAAAGCTAACTGCATACTTTAATTGAGTTTTCGTGCCAAATTAGAGGATCCACCATTGAAACATGCTAGGGTTCCTCAAGCTTCGAATTGGGTATTTTCATATACTGTAAAATTAAGACTTCTCAGTACCATGGTTAAATTCAGGACACTTGGATGAATCGAATGCAACAGTCGCGCCCAATTTATGAAGCAAGATGGCCTAATCGCTATTCTTGAAAAGGGCATATTTTGGGGGGGTTTAGAACCCCCGCTAACTCCTTTTATGTTTCAGGAAAATACAAACGAGGAAGAAGAAGACTAGGTGGCGAGGCGTGGTTGGCTCGTTTGAATTTCGCGCTAAAATTATCCATTAACTCTTATTTTGCTTTATGGTATTTGTGTTCTATTCTATGTACAAAGCGCGTTCACAGCTCCACTGGTCATGCTTGGCATTGGTAATCTCTGGGACCTGGGTTCGAATCCCAGGTCCCCCTTTCTATTCCATATTATTTTTCTAATAATGCTTCTGTGCAGTTTCAATACAAGCGTCCACCATACGTCCCTCATCCAGGCTTGCCACGCGCTTATTGAGATCAATCAAAGGGCTATGATTTGGAGACCATCATGGACATGAGTCAGACGCGTCATATGCAAGCCAACAAAGTCAACGAGGCCGGGAAATTATTGGGCCAGAATTGCCAAAAAACCTCCAATTGGGGACAGAACCCCCCATGGTTTGCTTTCTTATTCTTTTCTCATATTTTTTCTATTTTTGTTTTAATTAGTTTTAATATAATTCTTTAATTTAATTTATTTTCATAAAAATATAAAAATAATAACAAAAACTCATAAAAACAAAAATATATTTTGATTTAGTATTTGTTGTAAATAAATAATATCATTTAATTTAGTTTTCAATTCTAGGGTTAATTTCAATATCTTTTCTTAATAAATTAAAATTTGTAGAATTAGGTTTTAATTATTTTTACCTTTTCTTTTTCATAATTAATTATATTTTCTTGTAAATAAAATTGCATTAATTAATTAGGTTTAATTTTAGGTTAAATTTCAATGCTTTTCTTAATAAATTAAAAAATAGCTAGAATTAGGTTTAAATTTCATTTAAATTTTCTCATAAAAAACCCTAAATATAAAAAACTCCAAAAACCCAAAAATAATTTCTTTTTATTTTATTTTAATTAATTTGTTAATAATAATTTAATTTCGTTAAAAAAAGGGTCCAACGCCCTCGCATTCGATTTTAATTCCAATTCGCGCATTTATTTCCTTTCTTGTGATTTTTTATGTAATTCTCCCAAAGCCCTGTAAATTAAACATTTATATTTCTCGCACCTTTATTTTTTGTCAAATCGGGTCCTGGATTTTAATTTGGCGATGTGGACCCGCGCCTTTGTAATAGTTTAGGAACTTTATATCTCTCGCACTTTTTTAACTGTTAATAAATGCATGCAAGAATGAATGTTAAAATAAAAACAAAAGCGTAGATCACCCATGACATGAACAAGACAAAATATCTGAATCTGACACACAAATCACACACCAT